GGGGAGCCGGTCCTCGCTGCCGCAGCCGCCTCCTAACCGGAGCCGGCAGGCAGGCCGGGCGGCCGGGGGGGCACCGGCCTCGCTGCCGCCGCGGGGAGATGGGGGGGATGGAGGAGACGGAGCTCTTCTCCCCCCTCCCCCGCGAGTATCGCGGGTCCCCCCTTGTATATTATAAAGCTGATTTGGAGTGGCATTTCTCCTATGGGGTGGGAGGATTCCATTCACGTCAAAATAATTTGGGTGCAAGAGCTGCCACTCACAACGGAGACCGTGGCCACTGGCTGCCTTCTCTGACTCCCGCCCACCCTCCGAGTCAGTTGGCGCCCTGAGCTGCCACTCAAAAGGCGCTGCTGCCGTTGGCTGGGTGCGTGGCAGGGTCCCACCCATAGAAGCCCTGGCCAGCCTCTCACCCTCAGTCGACACGGAGACGCCGGACAGGATGGGCTTTCTGGCGGGTGGAGGTGGCAAGGCAGCCATGTCTTTACTCCCTATGTGCCAAATGGTGGTGGGGAGGTGGGAGGATGGCCCGCCTGGCATTGCCACGCCTTGCTGCTGCCCTCCACCCTAGCCGGCCTGGCCTGCACCACCACCTTCTTCCTCGCCACAATCTGGATGCGACCTTCTTGCACCTCCCTCCCACGCCTGGCCCATTGACCGAGGCTGACGGAGAGCCGAGCCGTGCCTGGAGGGGGGCCGGACAGAAACAAAACGGCAGCTCCCCACCCTACCTTGCTCTGGCTTCCTCTCTCCCGGCACTGACATCACCTCCGTGTGGGCTGCTGAGAGGATAGAATGGAGGGAGGGGCGGTGGACAGCCAGGAGGGAGGGAGGTGGACATCGCCAGCACCACCCTGGGAACACTGGTCCGCCATGCCGCCAAGGGGGGGCAGCCCAGTACAGTGGCCAGGTGGCACTGACGGCAAGGGAGAGAGTCCTGGCTGTGAGGTGACTCCAGAAAAAAGGCTTTGCGCAATGAGGGGCGGGCTGCGGTGGAGGCGGCCCGCGGGACTCACCCAGCCAGAGAGCCACTGACGGCCCATGTGGTTGCCCTTGATGCTGGTATCTGTGGAGGTGGCAGGAGATGCTGCCACGGCCCTCTGTGTGCTTCGACACGGCCTGGGCAGGGAGCTGCTGCTGGCCCGTCCCATCGCCACACCACCATCCCGGGACTGAGGGCCAGGTAGAGAGCGGAGGGGGGCTGGGGGAGGACCCGCCCCCGCCTTTCTAGAGCTCGTTGCATTGTTCCTGCAACGGTCCTTGCTCCTAGTATAATATAACAATGATTTACAGCGGCACATACTCTTAAGAAACCACTACAATAAAAACATAATTAAAAACACTAAAAATACAAGAGCAATAGAATCAAACAGCTCTTCAATATATAGCTATAACCTTCAAATTATCGGGAAGTGCCTTTCTAAGCTTACTGTGTCTTTCCATATATTCAAGAAAGGGAAACCAACGTTCCAAACAAAATCTGAATCGAACTCTGGATTCTCTGCCAAGAATATAACATCTGATATTTTGTCCGTGACCAGGTATTCCCATAACTTATTAAACCACATAACCGATGAGGGTTGTATACCATTTCCCCAGTGCCTAGCCACTAAAGTCTTGGCTGCCCCCAACATCATCTTTCCCATGCTTGACCCGCAGCCAGCTCTACACCAAGGGCAAGGGGTGGTGATGGCCTTGGGCCCATGGCCACCCCACCCTGGTTGTCCTCAGGGACATCACTGCTGCACTTCAAACCCCCCCCCCTCACCTCCCGGCCAGGAGCCACAGGAGTTAACCTTCCCTGCTCATTTCCCAGGTATCTTTACAGCCAGCACGGCAAGCTGGGCATGCATCAGGGGGCTTCCTGAACTCTTCCCTTTTGTGTGCAGGCAGGGGTTTGGATGATGGGATGTGCCGGGGAGGGCAGCAAGAGGAAGAGGCAGTGCCAAGAGGTGGAGTCCTCAGACACCATTGTCTCTATCTTGTTCTCTATAGTTAATTTCTTTTGAGAGCACCCGTGCATCTTCAAAGCTGCAAGGCAGGGTGAAATTCAGCAGTGGGGGGCTGCTCGGATGATGTGGAGGTCTGCCTCCCAAACTTGTCTTTCTCTTCCGTTCCCTCCCCCCATTCGACATTCCCTGCTCTTGAACTCTTGGCTCGGCTCTGTCCTTCTCCCTTCAGAAGTAAAGGAGTGTTTTCTAATACCAACAGTTCTTCACCCATCTATCACGTTCCCAATTCCATAAGCGCAATAGCAAAATAACACAGCAACAAATGGGCTGTGAGCCTATTTGGCAGGCTGGTGCTCTTCAACAGGCGTTTGGGACATAATAACGACACGACATTTTTGCATACATCTCCTTGGAAGTAAGAGAGCCAGTTTGGTGTAGTGGTTAAGAGTGTGGACTCTACTCTGGGAGAACCAGATTCCCCACTCCTTCACATGCAGCTGCTGGAGTGACCTTGGGTCAGTCACAAGTTCTGTCAGAGCTGTTCTTGAAAGAGTGGTTTCTCTCAGAGCTCTCTCAGCCCCACCGACCTCACAGGGTGTCTGTTGTGGGGAGAGGAAGGGAAAAAGATTGTAAGCCACTCTGAGACTCCGAGTGAAGGGCGGGGTACAAATCCAATCTCTTCTTCTTCTTCTAAGTGATGAAGACAAGTGAGCCTCCAGGTGAGAGAACGTCTTAGAGCATTGGTGCAACAACTGAAAAGGACCTGCTCTTGGTCGATGCCAGTCTACAGGGCTTTCTTAGCAGATCTGAATGTTCACGAGGGTTCGCTTGTGAGAAGATGCTCCACTAGGGCTCGCCTTCTTCTGTCTTCCTACAACCCCTCTACATAGTCCCACCCTGAATTGTGTTTTCTTAGCATGCTTCAGTAGTAGCAAAGGGAGTGCTTCCCCCTTCAGTTATCCAACACACCATGGGAAGACCACGCAGCATGCATGTGAATGGCAGCATCACTGGAGAGCTGGTGTGGTGTGGGGTAGTGGTTAGAGCATTGGACGAAGATCTGGGAGACCCACGCTTGAATCCCCACTCTGCCATGGAAGCTCAGTGGGGGGTCTTGGGCTACTCACACACTTTTCAGACGAACGTACGCGACATGGTTGTTCTAAGGATAAAAGGAGAGCGGGAGTACAGTATGTGCCTTAGTGAGCTTTGGAGGAAGGGAAGGATTTTCTCCCTTTGTCACAATGCAAGAACTCGTGGGCACTCAATGAAATTGCTGAGCAGTTGGGTTAGAACGCATAAAAGGAAGTACTCGATCACCCAAAGAGTGATCAACACATGGAATTCACTGCCACAGGAGGTGGTGGCAGCTACAAGCATGGACGGCTTCAAGAGGAAATTGGATAAACATATGGAGCGGAGGTCCATCAGTGGCTATTCGCCTCAAGGTATAGGTAGGAACTCTCTGTCAGTGGCAGGTGATGCTCTGTACTCTTGGTACTTTGGGGGGGGGCAACAGTGGGAGGGGTTCTAGTGTCCACTCGTGGGCCACTGGGGGACCTCCCGGTGGTATTTTTGGCCACTGTGTGACAGAGTGTTTATTTATTTTATTTATTTTTGGATTTATCCAGTGTTGGACTGGATGGGCCAGTGGCCTGATCCAATATTGGCTTCTCTCTTACGTTCTTATTGAAATGTGCTGGAATGACAGAATCACGTGGGGGGCACAAGTTCTGTGCATCTTCCCAACCTCACAAATCCTTTGTGTCATATACACTACAATGAGTGTTCCACATCAAAGTCACATCACCATTCGCAGGTGATTGTTGGCATGCCAGTCAGACTTGGTTAAGCATCTGAAAAGGTGGAGAGATGCCGGTGAATGTAGATTAAATGGAGCTGCAGTCACAGTTTTACATCTGAACAGCAGCAAGATGAATATCTTTGAGGGGCATCCCCATATTTAAACTGGGATTGCCAGCCTTGATGAGCGGATATCGGCATTTGTGATCACGGACAATCTGATTGTGGGGCCCATTTTTCAATATAGCATTTGGCCATCTGTTCCTTCCAGTGATAACATATTTTTGGCCACGGACCTCATCATCAGTGCCAGCTACCCGGCGCTCACAGGAGCAAAAAGGAAGGATAAACAAGGCCCACCTCTGGGTAGAGGCCAGAAGTCCACTGCCAGTGCCAGCTGCTCTTTGGGTGGCTACCAAATAGCACTGGCTATTTCATCACCCATTTAGCATGCCTTTTAAATTATAAACATATAAATATTTGCGGCAGCTACCCAGGTCCCTAGCATAGAACATAAGAACGTAAGAGAAGCTAATGTTGGATCAGGCCAGTGGCCCATCCACTCCAACATTCTGTGTCACACAGTGGCCAAAAATACCAGGTGCCATCAGGAGATCCAGCAGTGGGGCCAGGACATTAGAAGCCCTCCCCCTGTTGACCCCCCCAAAAAAGCACCAAGAAGACAGAGCATCACTTGCCCCAGACTGAGAGTTCCTGTCTATACCTTCTGCCTAACAGCCACTGATGGGCCTCTGCTCCATATGTTTATCCAGTCCCCTTTTGAAGCTGTCTATGCCGCTACTTCCTGTGGCAGTGAATTCCATATGTTTGCTTATTTATTTAATTCAATGTATATCCCACTCTCCTTGCCAGGCAGGCTCAGGGCGGCTTACATTAAAAAGTAAAAATACATTAGGGTTGCCAAGTGAGAACTCAGCCGCAGCGGGGGACTCCTGTCTGGAGGCTGGAGCATGCACGCACGCGCGCAAAGCGCGTGCACGTCGCATCCACGTTGCCCGGAAGTGATGCAGGC